TGTGGAAAGGTAGCATTCTTTTTTCTTTTTTTTCACCTTTTTTTTTTTTTTTTTTTTAAGGAGTGTTATCTTCCACTAGTATGTGTGGCACGGATACAATAAAAGACTGTTTTGCAAACCAGTTTTTCTTGGCGATTTTAATACTTCAGATATTCTGTATACAGTAATATTTTTAATAATATTTTGGGAGTCTTCCATATTTAGCATAAGGCCTTATTTTGGACTTTTAATGGTAACTTGCAAAGAAGCAATTGCCAAGCAGTCAATGCATATAAATAACACCGATCAGCTAAGGCTTTAGGGTGTACTCACTTGGCTGCCTAGCATTTGACCCCTTTCTAGCAGTCCTGTTTGCTCCTCTTATAGTGTGAACACTCATGATAATATAGATACGTGTCATGTTTCTTAAAATTTTTCAGCATTTCTAAACATTTTTGTTCTTGGGTCTGGGGAAGGTCAGGAGACAAAATGTTTGCTGACTGCAAAAACTGGAAAAATTGCAGATGAGTTGCAGAGCCAAGCTACAATACAGCTCTCAGGAAGTAATGTTTATTCTTATTTGCTTGCAAATCAGACCTGCCATTTTTGGGTCTTGGAGTCCTGTTGCGTGTTCCCCCTTGCCATTGTAATCCCTGTCTTGGGAGAAAAGTCGTGAGTGTGTGAGTGCCTGAGACAGGATGGTGCCTTTCCATGAAAGAAGGGTTCAGATGAATAACATCTGTTGCCTCGCCGGCAGATGTTGTTCAGTACTGATGTCCTTTGTGAAAAGCCTGCTAGAACTGTGCTCACCTAGAATGACACTCACATACAGGCGACAGGCAGCTCCGTCTTGGCTTCACCTTTGACTGACTCCTTGCTTTACTTTTATCACCCGTCTGAAAACTTGAATAAAAATAGTTCACTGATGTGTGAGGTGTGAAGATTTAACTGTTTTGAACATATAATATAGGCTTGTAATACTCTTAAGAGTATATTTAAATTATTGGTAAAACCATTTATTTGCTGCATTTATTTGATTTATTTTGGATTCTGTTCTGACTTATATTTTATCCTTATATTAAATTCATTATTTTCTAAAAAGTTAGAAGAACAATAGCAGGTATATGTTATTGTATTTCTCGGCCTGTATCCTCATTCAGCTCAAAAGCAGGGAAACTGAAGAGATTATAGTTATAAACAGCTATGACAGTGAGGTAATTTTCACCTCTGAACTTCACATTAACAACTTGTTGCTTTGCTCGCTGGCAGACAGCATTCTCATTCCTGTAAATATAATTAGTTACTGTTTTGATAAAATTTAATTTGAATGGCAAGCCTGAATCATATGAATGTTGTTGTAGTAGCTTTACAGAGAACAGGCAGGGCAAAAAAGATGGAATTTAATTACAAATATAAGCTTATTTTCCTTCTTGTGTTAATTTTATCTCTTCTGAAACTTTGTTTTCTTAGAGGAAAATTTCTTTGGCGTGCTCTCTTCCTTTCTGAGCAAAGTAACCATACCATCTAAATTCAGAGGATTTCTTGATGAACTTGCAAACCCTTAAATTACCATCAGTGATGGTCAGTGAAGAGTTTTTCTGGTCGGAACTGAGATCTGTTTTGTCCCTTGGCATCTCTTAAAATAGGATGCTGTACAAGCAACTGGAATTCAGTAGTAACCACCTTGGACAAAATAGTATTTTTTCTAGTATTGCAGAGGGGAATGTGTTTTGGGGGTGTTTTTATGTTTCTTTGTTTTTTAACAATTCCAGCACTGTGACACATACTCTGTTCTCAAGTAATTCAACACTTAAGACTTTTCTATAGAAGGAAATATCTGTCATGTTGCACAGAGGGTGAGATAAGCTGCCCCTGTGAATAATTTCCTGGGGAAAATTATTATAGGGAATTAAATAATATTTATGCTTTATTTTAAAAATGCATGCCTTTTCTTCCACAATCTCTTTTAAGCATCCCAAGTGGGAACACACAGTTATGTCAGAGTTGTTTATTTTCCAGCTGTTTTTTAGATTCAGTGCATGACTTTGGCAAGATATTAAACTTTTCTCTTGGTTTATTTCTGTGTGTAATATTAATGTTCTTTCCACCACTTCAATATTTGTGGAGTATTTTGAGATCATCTTTATAAAATTGTTACATGATTATGCCCCAAAGAGATGTGCTTAATATGGACAATATGAAAAGAGTGCTTATCTAGCTCCCATATATATATGATGAAGAAAATTCTGTGGAGAAAATAATGCTAATCACTTAACATAATTAATGATGTATTAAAGATGTATTGAAGATAATTCAGATGATGGATAGGAGTTCAAGTACAACCAAACACCATTCTGCCCGATTTCCTAAAACTAAACCTGTTCCATGTCTTAAATCTTTTCTTAAGAGCAACCCCCTTAAACCTCTGAAACACAGTTACCGAGGGCAGTGCTGCAAACCGAATGGACAAGCCGAGCGCAGGTAGGTTGCCCAAGATAGGTCCTGTTACTGACTCCCTGCCTGCTTTGGCAGTAAGGGCCGGCTAAATGGCATTAGTAATACCCAGGTGGATAAAACAGGAGCAGATGGCAAAAAAAGTCGATGCATGAGTACCGCACAAGACTGTGTGCTGGATAAGCTAACTGCGCTGCGCTCACTCACCCGGCTGCTGTGGCTCAAACGCCTCGGTCCGGAGCAGAAGCCGGAGGACACGCGCGGGGAAGGCTCCGCGTGGAAGCGTGCCGCTCCACAGGTGCCCGGCGCTGCAGGAGCAGAGCCCTGCAAGAGCAGGCCCCGCAGGCCAAGGCAGGTTCACTTCGTCGTGCGGAGCGAGTACTTTCCCCTGCGGAATACGGACGACGTCAGCTGCAGCCCTCAGCCCCGCCGCCCACCTGCTGAGCACGTTGTTAGGGGCTGGGCGCAGCCCTCCTACGCCCGCATCCTTCACGCCGAGGCTGCACGACCTGCCCGTGCCGGGGCCTCAGAGCGGCGCCTCACCGTGGCCGGCGGGTAAGGGGCTGCCCCAGGAGGCGAAGGGGCGCCTGGGGTACAAAAGACGCTTGGGGCGGGGCGGGGGGCCCCGGGAAGAGCCGCTCGC